TAGTCAATTTAACCTGAAAGGACTTTTTTTGAAAAGAGGGCCTTCAACATGGTTGGATGCTGTAATGTAGGGGCAAGATTTGAACCTAGGTTTCTTGCAGGGATGGTTTTATTTGTTGTTGTTTATTATTAGGGGGGGGGGAGGCTGAGAGGTAATTTTGTGGGGAAGGAAGGTGTGCTGTGTCTTTTGTACTACGGATGAGGGGGTTGCCAAGGTTGGGATGTTGTTGGAGAGCGATTAAAGGGGGCTGGGGGAAGCACTTCATCCTCTTGTCAGATTTTTCCAAAATGCTTTTCTGCTAGTTGTGAATGTTGTGGACATTGGGCAGCTTTTGGTGGTGAGTGGTGAGAAAGAATGCCCTTTTCTGATGTGGTTTGGTGGGTTTGTAGTCAAGTAGATCATTGTGCCTGAATTTTCTCACCATGTGTAAGATGAGGATTATGAAATTGATTTGGTATCCGCCGTGCAGTAAAATTTCTCTGAAGTCCCTAATTCTAGCTTCAAACCATTCGTCCCTGAAACAAATGCGTCGAGCCTGAGCCTACCACTGTAGACTATAGACCACAATATATGTTAGGGGTGGTTTGAAGAAAAAAGGGGAGAGGTAGCGCCTAGAGTCGGTTGGTTTGAGGTGGAGGTCTGTCTCAATGTTTTGATTGAGAAAGTGGAGGGAAAGGTCGAGGAAAGCTGTAGACTTTCCGGGGTTGGAGTGTGTGAATTTGATGGTGTCGTGGACGCAGTTTATGAAGGAGAGGAATTGTTGAATTTGTTGGGAATTATCACCATGCAGGGCGATTATGTGATCCATGTACTGCATGACCAAAAAAGTTGGTTAGGGGGGGTGGAGATGTTTTTACGCTAGAATTCTTCTATGAAAAGGTTGGCATAGGAGGAAGCTACTGGAGTTTTTATCATATCATCATCATCATCATCGAAAAAATATACTTGAGTCTTGGGTAGGGTTGGTCATATTTAATCAGATGTTCATGTAGGCCTGGATGTTCAACATTTCGCCCGTAGGGCTACTTTAGGAACATAGTATCTGAGTTTAAAAAAGTGATGACGCCAAGGCAACGAAGTGTTTACTATAAGTTACGTATCGGTGCAATTTGGACAATATCTGAAAGAAACAAAGTTCGGAAAAAGAAAACCTAACTAGTTAATGGCATAGTCCTGGCTGAGCGTATAGATACATTGAAATAGGTCGCACATCGTGTTGAGAGCTCACACAGATCTGGCACAAATTAAATTTGGAGAGGGGAGGGGATAGATGTACAATCAAGTGCAAAAGCACCAAGAAGCACCAAAAAGCACCAAAAAGCACCAAGAAGCACCAAGAAGCACCAAGAAGCACCAAGAAGCACCAAGAAGCACCAAGAAGTAACAAGAAGCACCAAGAAGTAACAAGAAGCACCAAGAAGCACCAAGAAGCA